TTGTTCGCCCCTTCAAAAGATTTCTGTTGTAACTTCTTTAAATTCCAATACATTTCCTGATTCCAAGTCTCATTCAGTTGTTCCTTCAGCAACTTTAATTCTTTAATAATTTGCTTTTTTCCAGGCTTCTTTTTTAATTCCTTTTCTTTCTGAGCAATTTTTTCTAACACTTCTGTTTGTTTTTGAAGTTTTTCCTTTTTTTGCTTCACGTTTTGCGAGATGAGAATTCCTCTCATCACCGCTTTATAAGCATCCCATACAATCTGTATCGGTGTTTCTTTATTTAAATTTTGTTGAAAGAATTGTTTCGTTTCTTCCTTTAACATCTCAATTACCGTTTTCTTATCCAACAAGTCTTCATTAATCCTCCACAGAAAGGGTTTTTTCCTTTCTGTGGAACTCCATACCACCGGATTGTGATCTGAATTACATCTTGGCAAAATTTCAGTCTTATGTGTTTTCATTGATAATTCTTCAGACATCCAAATCATATCAATTCTGGAAAAAGAGCAATGTCTATTGGAATAAAAAGTAAAGTCTTTCTGCATCGGGTTCCATTTCCTCCAAACATCTTCTAATTTTTCTTGCTTAACTAATTCAAAAAAATTCTTTGGCAATTTTCCGCTGAATTCGTTGTCCTTTTGTGGTTTTCTGTCTAGACGATCTATTGTCCCATTAAAGTCTCCGGCCATAATAACTTGCTCATAAGTCAATTGTTGTAATTGGTCAGTTATATCCTTAAAAAATTTTTCCTTTGCTCCATTGGGTGCGTACACGTTGATCAACAATGTTTTTTTCTGCTGAATCATTAATTCCACACCCACGTATCTGCCATCTATGTCCTTAAAAATTTCTGTAGGTTGTAACTCCTTCTTCACATATGTCACAACTCCTTTTTTCTTGTTTGAGGCCGCAGAACAAAATTCAATTCCAAATAAAGCATTCTTTAAATATTTTATATCCTGTTTTCTAATATGTGTTTCTTGCAAGCATATCACGTTGCATTTCTGTTTCTGTATCCAATGATTGATTCTTTTCCTCTTGTTTGGTGAATTTAATCCATTAACATTCCATGACAACAATTTGTACTCCATTATGCGTTTTATTTTAAAGTTCTCCAAAGACGTCCGCATTGTCCGCCTTAAATTTATAAAAGTCCATCATCGATCTGATCTGAATCCTCCCACCTTGATACGTAAAGGATAAACCTTGTGGAATCTCCCATCTATATCTGATGCTCAAAGCTCTGAGTTTGTCCGCCAAGGATTTATACCTTTTCCTGTCTTGCAGTATTGTTCTTGGGAGTTCTCTCATCACCATAATTTTGTTTCCCTCTATTACAAAAGGGACGTTGAATTGCTTCTTGAATATCTCCTCTGTTATTGATCTTGTTACAAATTGTACAATTACATCCCTTGGTAAATTCTTCTTTTCTGCAATTCTGGAGTTCACTCTATAAATCAAATCAAAGTCTGAGTCCATTGACCCTTCCTCCTCGCCCAGAAAAGCCGTTATCACTTCCATCATTTTTTCTTTTAAGTTCTCATTCTCTGTTTCCTTAATGCCTCTGAATCTCAGATGAGTCTGCATCCTTCTGAACTCCATCATTGTCTCTGATCTTGTAATTTGTTGAGTCAAAGAATCTTGTTTCTCTTCTATTTTTTGTATCTTCTCCTCTGTCTCTGTAGTCTTGGTTGCATTTGCTTGAACATCCTTCTTAACTCCTTCCATTTCTTGCTTGATTGAAGTTATTTCTGTAGTAACCAATTCCTTCAATGCTGTTATGTTCTTCTCTTGGACTTCTTCTAGATGTTTCAGATGAATCTGAGTTTGCTTCTCCAGTTGGTCCCCCAATGTTTTTTCTATCTGCTCCCCCATGGCTTGTATTGCCTCTGTCATTCTCTTCTCCATTGCTTCCATGGAGGCCTGCATCTCTTTTTTCTCGCTTTACCTTGTCATTTTGGGGGTTGAAGTAGATCCAATCCTAGGTCTCACAACCGGTTTAAGTTCTGGGTCTGAGTCGGCTCTTTTCTTGCCTCTCCTGGTCTCCGTCTTGGCGATTTCTTTCCAATTCACAGATTCGCAAAATAAAGCACTCTTCTAGATGATAAGATTTAGTCCTCCATGCCTCTCTGTTTACGCTTTCCAAAGACCCTTAGAAATATATTAAAAAAGCAAATTTAGTTGAAGTCCTCCTCAAAATGTCGGGCGCAACTTCTCTATGGTAATTTCATGTAGAGTAGGTCAGATTGGTATTTTGCAGGCCCTTCCTTCCGCATAAAACTCACTTCCGGTCCGGCACCTTTAAAAGTTCCACTGTCTTCCTTTCGCTAATGCCCGTCTAGGAATTCAACTTCCTGGATGTTTCACACGGACCTCTTTCTTTGTGACACCAGCCTGCTCTTCCCACGCTATTGTTCGTGAGTTTCGATTTTACAGTTGCGCACATGGCTCCATCTTCACCACAGGAATGTTAAACAATAAGCGTTTTTACAGTTTTTAAAGGTTTCAATCAACTTTTTTCTCTCCGGAATCGGATTTCTGGGATTTACTATTCATTTTCCGCTCAACCGCTTAATTCAAATTGACTCCAAACTCAGTTCAGGTAAGCGGCACGTTTTTGTTATCTAGCACGTTCAAAACGGGTTTCGCATTGTTTCTTTTAACTCACAGTTGTTGTCCTTCTTCAAAGAGGTCGGCTGACGAAGAATTTATGCCGGTAATCCGGCTCGATCGGCCACTATAGAGTTGCTTGGCACTTGCCTTCTTCGTGGGAGGAGGTCAAAGCCCAATTCAGCTTCTTCCGAAGCTGGATTACGCCAACCTCACACTCCCTCTAGGGCGCTGCTGCCTGCTTGTCCCCCCCCCCTCGCTGGGGAGTGATGCGTTGGGCTGTGTATTGCCCAAACTGTCAAAAGTGGCCATCGCTCGCTTCGCACGATCGCGAAACGCTTCAGTCCTCCATCTTAGCCAGACCGGAAGCCCATGTTCCTTCCTAATACTTGGTTAGAACACTACAGAAGCATCAAATTAAAAATTGCATTGGCATGAAATTCAGAAGTATGTTTGAAACCATATTGATGCTTATAAACTTCTCTGGTGGTCATGTACTCTGTAGAAATAAAATCAAATAATGATAAACAGACGATAGTTATTGTAAGGTATTGTTGTATGGCTTATGGCAACCAGCCTTTGTGATGCTTGGGTGGTATATTAGGTTCTAATTTGGAAAAATATTCAGATCCAACTGTCTGAACTTTAATTCCTTTATTCTTCCTGCATCCTTACCATAATTTTTAGGGGAATTGCATGAGGTTTAAACCCATCCACAAAGAATGTGTATTTACATTAACCTGAAGTAGCTCTGGTAATGATTAGGAAGGAAATAAAATCTGCAGTGTTATGTTGAAATAAATGTTTTCAGAGGAATATTTATTAAATTCCATAGGAAGCAGAAAGGAAAGAAGTAGACATAGGAGGGAGAATATAGAAGGAGAACTGGGATGATGGATCATTTTTTAGAACAAACATGACTGTTTCTGGACTGAGGTTTTATTTATTTGCATTACATAAAATAAGACAAGCTCTTTTAAAGGGATCTACAACACAGATGTTTCAGCAAGGTAAATGTGTTCATGAAGAGCACATCTTTTGAATTGCTTTTACTCTGTTCTGGAGACATTTTGCAAAACTTTCATGCAATTTTTAAGATTACAAACTTACACTTTCACACTGAGATCCCTCACAGAATTTAATCTGTCTGTGAAGAGGAATAGAGTTTGGTACCTTGATTTATTAGCCTCTCTGAAGCAGTTTTCAGATGAGGGCAACTTCAGTTTAGCAGTTATCAGGCTTCTCTTCAAACCCTGTTCCACTAAGCCAAAAGGGGGCAAATGAAAGGAGCTTTAGAAGTGGGTGGCTGACCTTTTCCCCCTGATGTTGGCTGCAGTTATGAGAGTTGTTTGAATTTTCCATCACATATCATTTCTCACGGATCAGTCTAGTAAACTAGCATATAAAATCAATTTGGCTGTGAAAATTGATCATGCAATTTCCGTCTGGAAAATATGGCTCCTATAGATTGTAATTTCTGCTTTCTTGCATTGAAATAGTATTGAGAAGGGAAAAGAAGAAAAGTGTTTTACACAGCATCTATTTTATGTTTATTTAAATACTTTATAACCCAGCTTTTGAAACAGAAAAAAAACAGTGTAGCTACCAACAAGATTTAAAAAACTGTAAAACACAGTAAAATCAAACAGTATAAAATTTGGTCAAGTAAAACAACAGATAGTTTTAAACGGCATAGAAACAGCACAGTAATCTTAATTATAAAGTCAAGCAAATTATAAACTCAAGAAAATAGAACTTTTGACCCATCACCTAAAAGTTAGTTCAGAAGCCCCTAGATAAACCTCTCTAAGGAAAGCATTTAGGGCTGCTAGGACCCAGCCTAATATGGAAGAAAATAGAGGCCTGTCTGATTATGGGGCACAGCTATATGATGCTTTTAGGGTTGCCAGGTTTTCCCTTGCTGCTGGTAAGTCCCCACCACCACCCGCCGGCAGCATAATATGGGCTAGTGTTTGTATTTCACTCATTTTGTTAAGATGCATTCATAAGAAAGACTTTATTTTCTTAGTAGTGATCTGAAAAAAGTTGTTTATTTTGTTTTGTCTGAACAATTTACTCAAAAGGAAGATGATACAGAATGTAAGACGATCCCCCCCAAAAAGATTGTGTACAAACTTTTAAAGACTGGACACAACTGTGTCTTGTATACATATTTAAGATGGCCTCCTTTTTTGTGATGGCACATATAAAAAATTGCCTTTTTTTAGGTAAATTTTTCAGACAAAACAAAATAAACAACTTTTTCCAGTACACTAGTAAGAAAATAAAGTCTTTCTTATTAATGCATTTTAACAAAATGATTGAGGAATATCAGTTGCTGCTGCCATAACTTAACTTTCTGTTTCTCTCTTTTTTTCCTTCCACAGCCATGTGTGAACATGGGTGCAAGAATGGCGAGTGTGTGATGCCAAACAAATGTAAATGTTTTCCTGGATAAAACCTGCAGTCAAGGTGAGTACGACTTACCTTGTAAAACTAAAACCAACATTTTCATTGAATGTGTTCTCTGTTCTCCAGTAAAATCTACTTGACTGCATCTGCTAACTAAGAACTGACTTATCACACTCCAGTGACTGAATCCTAGTTTGATAGTTGCACACCATTGCCCATCAAATTATGTCTCCCCCCTCCTCAATCAAGTAAGCCCCAAATACAGACAGCAGCAACTATTGGGCTGGAAAGATCAATAACAGGGAAGCCAACAATGCTCAGTGCTTCACTTCTCCTTTCTCATAGTGGGGAGAATAGAAGTAGTCCCACCCCCACAGGATGCCTGAGAAGTTCGGGGAGCATGGCAGGCAGAGGTGCTTTCCCCCTGGGAGTAAGCGAGACTGGCTTCAGCTCAGTTAAGAAGTCTGCAAGTTGGGTTGCTGGGGTCATGGAAAGATAAAGGAATGGTCTCTGGCTTGCTTATTTCTGTCCTCTGAAGGACTGCCATCTAGAGCTACCCCTCCCCCTTTCTTTCCATGAAGAGAGGAGGGCACAGTTGCGAGCTGAGATGTGAAAAAAAATATTAGGAAAAAGGGACTTTTTCTGTATGAGTCTAAGATAAGGATGAATTAATATGTATGGTGCCTTTAATCTGGCCTTGGGGTCCTGGAAAGGTGGGATTAGTATGCTAGTACCTTGACACCAGGATGCCTACATATTGCTGGCAACTTTCTGTCCCTGTTCAACAATAGCTTTGTAAAGGACCTGCTACCACATGTAACCTTTTTTGGTGCATGTACTCCCCAGTATATCCTCATTAGGCTGTCAAGTTTATATGGGTACACACACACAGGGTGCATTCAGACACGGCCTTTCTGCCGGCATAAACTGCACCGGTTGGAACCGGTGCAGTTTATGCCGGCAGAAACGCGATCAGACTTACCTCCTGTCTGCGGAGCTCACACGCTGCGGGCGTCTGCATGTGTGTGTTTTTTTTAAAGGACAGTTTGAGCATGCGCATAGGCAGCCATTCAGAGAATGGCGATTTTTGCGCATGCTCAAACCCCCCCCCCCGTACATTTAAACTTTAAAGGTAAGCACTTACCTTTAAAGTTTAAAGCCCAACCTGGCCTCCCTGTAGTCCCGGACTCCTCCGGGAAGTTAAAGTAAGGCTTTTTTTTTTTTTTTACACAAACGCTCAGGGCGAAGCTTCGCCTGAGCACATATCGCTTCCTTTTTTAAAAAAATGGCAGGGGAAAGCCGGAAGCCTCAGGCTTCCGACGGAAGTGTCTCTGTAACGGAGGAGAGCGATCAGACGCCGGGGTGCACCGATTACAACCGTTGCATTCGGTTTACCACCACTTTGGACCTAGTGGCAGAGTGCAACGGTTTAAAGGGATTTACAACGGTTAGGGACGGGAGGCAGATGTTCGCCGTGTGAACGCCCGTAAGTACACCGGTTGGAACCGGCACCCTAACCGTTGTAAATCCCCCGTCTGAACGCACCCACAGAGTCATGATCACATATGCCTGCGGCTTGACTCTAATTGTACAAGCATCTTGTATGCCTGTGGCTTTGCATTATAGTAGAGTGTATGGTAGATAGAGGTATCTTTTTCACCCACTGCTCCACAGAGCAGCAGTGGGATCCTAGTGCCCTGGAGAAGGAGGTCTTCTACCAAAGAGGCAGACCTAGTCCTGCTAGCTAGGGAAGGCTGGAGTGAGGAAATCAAGGAGGGGAAATGGCTTCACCTTCGCCATCTGTAAGTGTAGCTCTACTGAGGTCATAGGGGTCATTTTCATCACCTTGTCCCTCTTCACCACAGCCCCCCGACCCTCATGGTTCTACATAGATCCTGCTTCTCTACATGGAGCCTACAGTCCCAGGAGTGATCATTCTGGAGGCTAGAAACTAGCTGCAGAAAAGGAGAAGGCTTTGGGGGAACTCTGTGTTCCTTCTGTACATGAATAGTAGGATACTGCCCAATATAACTGAAAATTTTTAAGAATGCAAACTATAATAAAAAATCTGATCACAGAACTTTAGAATAATGTATTTTTATTGAAGGTTGCATGACAAATTGCCATCTCGTCATTTTTATACTATCTATCTGTTTTTTAAACCCTTTCACAAATTGTAAAATCTAGTACCAGGCGGAAACTAAAAATCACATTGTCAGAAACGTAAACTTGGCTATATTCTTTCTCTGTCCATGGAATAAAGAGAAAATATTCAGTGTGTACATGATCAGAGTTTGCTAATGACATTTTTCAGATTTTGTTTTACATTGGAATTTATAAGCTCAATAGAAGGCTGAGCTGAATGGCATGCAACACATTCTTAGAGCAGAGCTTTGCGTGCATTTTCTTCCGTCGTTCTTCATCATCCTTGCCATATTTCAGACCATACTGAACATCTGTCCCACAAAACCAGTTCCTAATTTATGCTGAAGAAGCAGGAGGAAAGACCTTTTTATTCCTGGCTTTTCTCTTCAGGCACCTCTCAACAGAAGGAAAACTGCAGGGATAATAACCAATTATTATGAAGGCCAAGAGCCCTTTGTGTGGTAAGCAATGCAAGCTGCACAGTGCAAAGCTGTCTTAAGGGTCTCTCTATGACATCCACTCTGTACCCTGAACGCACTTTTGTTTCATATGCGTTCCAGACAGTCCTTGAGATGTATGCTTCAGTTGCAAAGATTTTGCGCTTCTTGAGCATTCATAGTACAATGCTTTGTGGGTGGCAAAGGCAGTCATCCTGCTATAACACACGCAGTGCTACTGTAATTGCTTTTGTGGAATTTGGTACATGAATGACAAATGCCTGACCATTTGTGCATCATTTCCTGAATTATTTTTGTTTCATTTCTTTCAGTGTTTTGAGTGTCTCTCTGAAGACTATGGCCACGGTCACATGGTCCTTTTGATCGGGTTTTGCACTGTTCCCTCCCGCATTTAAGTTTGCTGATCATACAGGCGAATCCGCCTCCCATGCCGAAGCGGGCTCACTCCCGCAATGCTCCCAGGTTTTCCTGCCCCCGGGAAAATCAAGTATTTTCCTGGCACTTGCGCTTTGAATGCGCGATTTCACCCATCTGGACAGCCATCTTTCACAATGATTGCAATTAGGGCCGTCTGACCACTCTGTGCGATATTTTTTTTAAAAAAAAACCTTCCGGCTTTGAGTGCTTGAGTAAACAAGCGCTCATCCTGCTTGGAGAAAAATCCTGCCCACCATTCCCCGGCATGGAGGCGGCATTGAAAGTTTCTGGGGGAGGAAGCTGGGGGGGGGGGCTGTCAAGCGAGTGGGCTTTGGCATCCACCCCAAAAGTCCCTGAAGCTGTGGCGTTAGGAGGGAGGGAGCCTCCAGTGCCAGGGAGTGCACCCAGCTAGCCAGCAGCATTGGGTAGAAAGGGGAACTCTTTCAAAGGTGCCTTTTTATTTTATTTTCATCGGGCCGGTGGCTGGAAAGTTGCTGGGGGTGGGTGGGCAGGTGGGGAAGGCGAGCTTGCGGTTCAGGGAGGGGAGTGTGAACATCCCAACTCGGAAAAAAAATATTCCGGTTTTAATTGCATCGGGAACAAAGCGCAATTGTCTTGCCGTGTAACCACAGCCTATGTGCTTCCATCTCCCACCATAGAACTCAAAAGACAGAGGTGTCTTCTCTATCTTCTGAACGGCAGTGAGGCTAACCTTCAGTTGCTGGGTCTGCCATTTTATGAATTCTTGCTTTTCTAAAACATGCTATTCTTCAGAGGTTGTGTGTTCCTCCTCTGCTGTTCTGGAATGCAAAAAAATAACCACATTTCCTGCCTCCCTTCAAAACAGAGATAAACAGTATAAATATAATGTGTGTTCTTTCTCCTCCTGACGAGGCTGTACTGACACTTATGAATATGGAAAAAGGGACCTGTGAAATTATCAAACAAAGGGTAAAATTCAGTTGGAAACTATGTAGAAAGCCCCTAATTTGGGGATCTAGTAGATACTACTGTTGGCAGTCCAGTCAGCAACAGTTGGCAAAATTTAAAGTTTTAGTGAGACATTGTATATAGTAGCCAGCAATATGGACTGAGGACAGGGATGCTTGATTGCAGATTTCCACTCTGTCTTGAATCCCATTGGGTGACTTTGGGCCAGTTGCTCTTCTATGCCTAACTTAACTCACAGGATTGTTGTGAGTATCCAATGGAGGAAAACCATGTCACCTTGAGCTCCTTGGAAGAAGGACAGGATAAAAATGTGAGAGATGTTATCTATAGTTTTGTTTTAATTAGCATTTAATGGTTGTGATTCTGTTTAGCATTAATGTAAGCCACTTTGAATGTGTATTAGACAAAAGGTGGCATAAAACTTGCATTAAATAAATATCTACCATATGACCCAGGTATTTACAACTCAAACAGTGATTCCCAGATTACCAGATGGCCCCCTGAAGGAGAAGATGCCATTTTCCTGCATAGGACAAGCTTGTCGTGGTCAATTTGTAATGCGTCTTCATCAGCTTTAGCAATCTCTGAAGCTCTGGGTTGGATCATATGAACATTCCACTGGTGAAAGGAGATGGGTAATCCTGCTGCATTCTTCTCACTGCAGCCCCCCCCCCCTCCACAATGATTTTTGTTTGCTTTGAGAGCCAGCAGAGTGTAATCTGGAGAACCAGGTTTCATTCCCCACTTCACCACATGAAGTCTGCTGGGTGACCTTGGGCCAGTCACAGTTCTGTCATCCCCACCTACCTCACAAGGTGCCTATTGTGGGGAGTGGAAGGGAAGGCAGATTGTAAACCACATTGAAACTCCTTAAGATAGAGAAAAGTGTGGTATGTAAACCAACTCTTCTTCTTCTTCATCGTCCATAGAGTCCCATCACTGCATTTTCTGAGATCACAGAAGGCTGCTGAAGGAAGGGTAAGGCAAGAAAATATCCATCTCCACCAACAGAATGCCTGTAGGATCCATCCCATAGACAGCTGTGGGACTTCCCTATGTTGTGGACCCATACAGATCTATCTGTTCTTTTTTTCTATGGGTCACTTATTCTAAGTTGCAGACAAGCATGATGACTCATAGTCTTATGTATGTTCACAAGGAATCATACAGCTTAAAATATGAGCTATGGTTACTTATCATGGCCAAGTCTGAGAACCTCTGAACTGTTATGACAAATCCGGAAAGTCAGCCTATAACTGACATTGCATAGGGAATAGAGGAAAGAAAACAGTTGTTGCAATCTGTCTACTGAGAGAAGACACTTCCCTGGATTCTGTCAGGTGTTCCAAGAACTTTTGTGTTCCTAGTGCATACACACCACCATATGGTCTGCTGAATTCCCAAGGCATGAAGTAAAACCCAGTGATTTTTTTCCCCTTTAAAGATTCTGGTGCTGATTTTATCCTGATTATTTTGGCAGATATAAATGAATGTGGATTGAAACCACACCTCTGTGAACACAGATGTATGAACACTCATGGCAGCTACAAGTGCTATTGTCTCAATGGGTATATGCTCATGCCTGATGGTACCTGTGCAAGTAAGTGACAAGTAGTATCTAAGAGCCAGTAAATGGGACACAAGACGAGATTAAGGCACTGTTCCGGCTAATCTCAAGATAACCTGCTTTACACCAGGGAAGAGTAGCTGATTTATTTATATCATATTTAATTTCTCAGCCCTCTAAAATATGTCAACATTAAAGAATATTACCACTGTTGATATTTTTAGATAGATCTATAAATATATGAAGACATTCTTCAGGCTCTCAGATAGTGAATTATTTTTCTCAAGACCTGAGCGCATTTAACTGGAGATGTCAGGGATGAACTTGGAATTTCTGCATAGAAAGAATGAGCTCTATCACTGACCCATGGCCCTTCCCTGAAATATTTTTGCCATGTTACATGAGATCCTTTAATTTTAGACCTTGACCAATGAATGCCCTTTTTTGCATTCATTGGGAAACAGTGTTTGGATTCTCTTTTAGTTCTGACCATTTATTACAGCTCATGGATAAATCAGAACTCAAACCTAAAATTTTAGCCATCCCTTAAAAATACAACCTGATAGCTTTAGGGGTCAGGAAAAAATCTAATGTTTTGAAGTCATTAACAGTTTCTAAAAGTTTCCTTTGCGGAGATATTCATTTGACATTTATAAGTCCTTAGAGAATTGTTGTCCCCTGGTGGAATGGTGTTAATTTTAGATGGAAATTTTTTTAGCCAAGCAAAAAAGAGTTGAACATGTCCAAATATATACACTGGGGAAAAATTGTTCATTTTAATAACTTGGCATAGCAGTTAAAAAAAAAAAGCTTTCAAAAAGTGGTTTTACTGCACTTTTGTAAGTGTAAATCTTTCTGTCACCTGATAATAGAACTGCATAGTTTGGAAAGCAAAAGATAAATAGCCAGAAGCACTTCTTTCTGATGAGTTGTTGTCAGGTGTGTTCAGAGTTTTGGAGATAAATTTAAAAAAGCTTGCAGGCATAGAAGCATCTAAGGCCCGTTATGCACACTCGTTTTACTGCAGATTTTCAAAGCAGTAAGCCTTTAATCTTGACTTTGGATTCTGTGCCCATTTTATGCACCATTCTTTTTTCTTTGGTGTATTTATTCTGCAGGTACAATTTAAAAAAAAACACTTTTCTAAATTGGGATGGAATGTCACTTGTGATGTGTTGGGGGTGGCATCCAAAGTTTTTTTAAAAATTACACAGTTGCCCTATTGCAGCGTCCAGCAAGCACCAGTTTGGTGTAGTGGTTAAGTGCACAGACTTTAATCTGGGAGATCCGGGTTTGATTCCCCTCTCCTCCACTTGCACCTGCTGGATGACCTTGGGCAAGGCATAGTTCTGGCACAGCTGTTCTTGAAAAAGAGCAGTGTCTGTCAGAGCTCTCTCAGCCCCACCCACCTCACAGGGTGTCTGTTGTGGGGTGGGGAGGGAAAGGAGTTGGTAAGCCGCTCTGAGTCTTCCTTGGGTAGTGAAGGGCGGGGTATAAATCCAATCTCTTCTTCTTCTCTTCCATTTAAATTTTCGTGGTTCAGGTTTTATGCATGCATTTTAATGTTAGTTCATTGAATGAAAGAGAACAGAAAGGAACCCAGGCAAAAGGGGGGGGGGGCGATGTTGAAATGGACCAGACTTTTTCTGAAACTGACAAGCAGCTGAGAAGCCCCATCTCTCTATATAATAATTCTCTGTTGGTGGTGGCACATTGCTGAACATTCCACATGCTCTCAAATCAATAGGCTCCCTGATGTGTCACTCAGAAGCTGTCCCCATCCACTGGCTGCATTGACTGAGTCCCACCTCCAACATTCTAAACAGTTTGCTGTTCCTCTCCTCCCATAGCCAGTCAGAACACAGAGGTCATTTGCATATGCAGCCTGACTGGCCTTTGCCTCAAACATTCTAAACAGTTTGCTGCTGCTGTTGGGAGTCACTGAATGTGTCCTGAGGTAAATTACATATCCCAATCTTCCCTTAAATGGTCACTGGAGTTGCCAGTCTCCCTGTGGGGCCTGGAGATCTCACAGAAATCACCATGTCCCCCAGCAACAGCAAATCATTTCCCCTACAGAAAATGTCCCAGCTATTACAACTGATCTCCAGATGACCAAGATCAGTTATCCTGGAGACAATGGCTACTTTGGGCAGTCGACTCTATGGCATTATACTCTGCTGAAGTCCCTCCACACCCTAAACCCTGCCCTCTCCAGGCTCTACCCTTCAAATCTACAGGTATTTCCCAACCCACAGTTGGCAACCGTGTAATTGGCTATGGAACCACTTTCCAGACCCTTGGAACCCAGAAAACATGGCATAGGAGGAGGTGCTTTTCTACCTTAGCTGCCACTGCATAGCCCCAAATTAACATAAGCCAACCTCCAGGAGGCACCTGGAGATCTCCAGCTATTAAAACTGATCTCCAGATGACCAAGATCAGTTCTCTTGGAGACAATGGCTGCTTTGAGCAATGGACTTTATGGCATTATACTCTGCTGAGGTCTCTCCCCACCCCAAACCCTGCCCTCCCCGGTCTCTACCCCTCAAATCTACAGGTATGTTCCAACCCAGAGTTGGCAACCGTGTAATTGGCTATGGAACCACTTTCCAGACCCTTGGAACCCAGATAACATGGCACAGGAGAAGGTGCTTGTCTACCTTAGCTGCCACTGCATAGCCCCAAATTAACATAAGCCAACCTCCAGAAGGCACCTGGAAATCATATGTAACTTAATAAAAATTTCAGTGTAGATAAAAGATTCAAGATGGCAACTTTCCTATAATATTATTTATCCCATTCCAGACTACCAGCCCCTTTTCTGGGTGGGGGGAAGGAAACTCAGAACATAAAGGGAAGGAAGGAGGGTACCAGCCAATGGGTAACTGTTGCTGCCCTCAACCAAAAGCCTGGCAGAACATCTCTGCCCCTGGGAGGAATGGCACACAGCCCAATCAAGATAGGACTGAAACCCACGTCTGGCCACAACTATGGTCTTGGACAAGAGACACTGTCTGCCTCAGCCCTCCCTCACCCACACCCTGGCCCCAAGTCAGACCCAGCCGGCACAAAAATCGACACAAAAGCACTCTCAGGAAATCTGAGGAAACAGCAACCAGAAAGCAAACTGAGTGCTGAAGGGAAGAAAATCAATGCATATTGACAGAGAAAACCTGATGGGCATGCACGGTGAAAGCAAGGGAAAACAACCATGCATAACAGGCCTATGAAAAAAACATTTGCAGCACAGTCCTAAAGAGAGTCACACCCTTCTAAGTCTGCTGAAGTAAATGGACTTAGAAGGGTGTAACTCTGTTTAGGATGGCATTGTTAGTGGCCACAGTTCAAAAAAAGGGAGACACGTGGGACATGTGGATGAAGCAGCCACTTTATTTGCTATTTTTGCCACAGCAATTCCTATTACTAAAGAAACAAGCCACTTTTTAAAATTGTACAGGCTTGTTTCTTCAGCAGTGGGAATAAAAGCAACCAAAACAGCAAGAAAAATTCCAGCTGCATATAGTCTTCTATGCACTGATGTTCCCTTTTGCATGCTACCCATAAAAGTTCATATTCTGAACAGATATTAAGAAAATTTCTTCTAATAATGTTGTCCTCTGATACAGTATTCCCTATTGCCACCCTGGCTTTTGACAAATATTATGTTTTTAAGATTCCAGGACATGTGCCATGGTGAATTGCCAGTATGGCTGTGAAGAGGTGAAAGATGATGTGCGATGCTTGTGTCCATCAAGTGGACTGCAGCTGGCACCAAATGGAAAAACATGCATAGGTACCTCTGGATGTTTCTATGCCCTTATTATCATGAACATAAACCTCTCATAAGAACCTGAACTGACAAATGCTTGATGCAGTGGATTAAGGAGTGACTATAATTCTAGACAGAAGGTTTGGGAATTACTATGGTAGGTTGAATGGTGTATGGATTGTGTAGTTACATAATAATAATTAACTAGAAGCTTGAAGCTCAAAAAGCCCCTCCTATCTGCAATTTTTAAAATTTGCTTTCCTTACCTCCACTTCTATCTAGGGATGGTCAACAGAATTCAATTCACTTCCCATTCACCTGTGGTGATCAGGCAGCCAATTAATTGATGACTGTTCAGAGATTTGCAACCTGTACAAATATGCATGTAGGAAAGACTATTTGGAGCCATCAAGAACAGAGTTAGCTTCTGATCTCCTGCTGTGGATGTTTTACTCTGTACACAGCAAAGTTTTAAAGAGGGGAATGGTGTGTATGTGAAAATCAGAAGAAAGCTCCCAGCTGATCAGTTGGCAGCTGGGCTCTTCTGATCTCTCATCGTGGAAATTTTGGTGCCTCCCAGACTTGCTGAGATGTAGCAAATTTACTACAAAGCCATGGTGGTGATGAGAAGCCAAGCCGATTTCCTTTCACTTCTCCCCACCCAAAGCTGATAGAGAATTGGAGAGGAACTGGCTTTTTCTCCTCCCCATTTTGCAGTGCAGGCCTTAAAAGTATTGCTTCTGTCCCTACCTAGTTTGGATGGAAGGGAAATGAAACAAGCTCTTTCTCTCCCTTTGGCAATGCAGAGATCAAAAGCAGCTTTGATGGGAGGGAAATGCTCCCTTTTACAACTGCACGGTGTAGCTGTTCTGTTTAGGGGGCCAAACAGATAAGGACTCCCAGCTGATCTGCTCCATCAGCTGGTAGATATATGTCTAGTAGTGATCAGTAGCCCTCCCATTTGAATCACAAAATCTGCAAGATGGGACACTTATGGCCTGTGTATATGCTGCTGCAAGCCAGAGATAATATGTAAAATGTTACCAAAAATAGGTGGTTAAAATTGCTGCCCTCCATAACTTGTGATGTTTGCACACATATAGATATTGTGCAAACAAAACCATATGAAAATGGGGCAGTAGGGAATGGCCAAAGGGAGGGGGGACTGGTGACCAGGTGTGGTGGACAAGGAGGAGGAAAACAGGTGATCAGACAAATTGAAGAGGAAGCAAAGTGACTTGGTAGGCATCAGAGGGGTATGGGGCAAGGGGGGGTACTAAGCAATTAGACCTATCAAAAGAGGAGGAAGCAGGAAGTTAGATTTCCCCTCCCCCATAGGTGTCCATGGTTCATCTCTTGTACTGTGCAATTTGTAAAGCTTCAGCAGCACTGTGGGAGGTTTAAGGAGCTAGCAGTCCTAAAGAGCTCTGCTTTACAGTATCTACCCTTCCAGAGTTCTGAATCCCTAACCACCACAAGCGATATCCTAAACAGATGGATCAAGGATGCCATTCATAAAGCAGTTTTGAGTAATTATCTCATGAGTCCCAAGCAGGTTGACATTCTTCCCATATTGCAACACTGGGCCTGAAGCAAAAAGACAGTGAATTGCTTTAAGACCGTCTACAGTTTGTGGATGAGATGGGAAACGAAGACTTCCCAACCCATGGCTCATTACACTTGAGACGCTTCATTCCATCAATTTTCTTTAGAACACCTTTAAAACAACGTGCCTCATTTGCAGATCAGCGCAGGAAGCTTTGTACTGGTGGGACGAACTTAGTTGGTCTCCCACCGTCTCACAAATGTGTCACACAAGCGTAAAATAGCAAGAGACAGTCTCATTGTGTCTTGACTCCTCCTCTGATAGGGCTGACAATTAACATACCACAGGACAGTCTGTGCCTAGTAGAGCAGAAGAAGTTGCTGAGTTTTTCAGCACTTTGAAGTGTGTGTGTTTCTTCTCTGCGGTGCTGGCATGCACATTTCTCCTGGTGGGGCTTTCTTTTAAAAAACAGCAGGAACCAAAAATAGTCATTCCCACATTGAAAGACTGTCCTCTTCTCTTTCATGAGAACTGGATATTGCAGTGCTGAATATCAGCTCAGTATGAGTTCAGTGTCTAGAAAGGTGATAAATTAAGCTTTTTCTCATAATTTTTGCATGCTCTGATGCTGCCTTTCCAAGCCGGTGGGTGTATTACGCCTTAGACCAAGCAAGGAATCATATGTGGCAGGCAGAATATTTCCTCATCCCAGGAGTCTTTGGGGAATTTAGAGCCTCAGAGATACTTGACAGGCACAGGAAATGAACTCTGATTGTGATTGCAGGCATTCATAACCATTCAAGCAGCACAGTCATTAAACATATCAGCCTGGAAGCCCCGTTCTGCAGATGTCTTGCAGCCTTTGGACATGCAGCTGCAACAGCAAGTTGTACATGGATATCATGACCTGATGCTATTTTCTCTATGTTATAAAGCATAGAATGATCCCATGTGAATTCTTGGCTTGGTTGCTAAACAATAAACATACCGTGGAAGGAAACCGTATTCCTTTCCTCCCAAATCTGTTGGATCTCTGAATGGAAATGTCATTTTTTTGCATACATCAGCAGGGTTATGCTTGTCCCTATCATCCTCTATTGGTTGATTAACATTTACTTGTAATTTTATTTATTTATTTTATTTATTTATTTTTGGATTTATATCCCGCCCTCCCCGAAGGCTGAAAGCTGGAGACAACAATCGTTTGTCTAAATGATGTATTTATTAGCCACATTATATCTCTTTATGTATTCATGGGACTGGATCCAGCCATCTTTTTCACTCAGTCTCACTCAATTCCCTTTGTCACTACAGCTCCCAACCCACATATCTTTTGTCTATGCAGGTCCCATGCATAACCGTTTTTGATATACGGAAGGACCTCCCCTTTTACCAGCAGACGAGCTGGTTGGATCCAGCCCCTGTTGCTGGCTTAGGTTTACATTGCTTCATTCACTTTACCCTGTTCAGTGTGAATCCATCTGGATAGGTATAAGGGATAAAATGTTGGGTTATTACTGAATTCCATCTAAGACAAAATTGAGAGTTCTATTCAGATGGAAATGTATCCTGAACTAGATGGGATGCAGAGGGGAGGGAAGGATTTACTGGAATATCCCTGTTTTGATTTGGATTCAGGTTGCATCTGTCTACACCACCATATTCCTTAGATACTTCTGTGCATTCATAAACTGCACCACACCATAAGTTGCATAATTTACATTTGCTGCATTACACTGTAGTTCTGCTAAATGCATCTGGATATTATGTTGAGTTACAAATGTTGAATATAGAGCAAAGTGAGACAGCTGGAATCCAGTGGCCCAGTTTGAACTTCCACTGAAATCCATGGCCCAGCACTCAGATACACAGAAAAGAGGGCTGCACCAATGCAGAATCAAGGAAGGGAAGAAAAAAAAACACCTAATGGTGCAGTGGGAAAAGAAATTTTATTTCACTCAAAGATCCTTATGAACTTCATAAGCAGCTTTGTCAGGGGATCTGCAAGGCAGCCATCTCTTAGAGTGCTCCTACCATAGTAAGGCCCTTAGTAACACTCGAAGAGATGGTTTGAGCAAAATAAAATTATTTGAGCGAAATGGCATTTCTTTTTACACTGCACCATCGTGGTTTTTTCCTTTTCTTCCTTGGTCCATCACTAAGATAAGCAGAATCCAAGGCAGCATTCAATTCATGAATTTTGCACACCTCTGCTACGAGAGTGTATGTGATTCCAGCAAATCTTATCCCATTTTATTCACAGTGGTGTCTGTGATACTCTAATTGGAGATCTCCTGATACTTTTTTCTTTGACCTTACCAGATTTCATTTTCATGCCCTAGATATTGATGAGTGCTCTACTGGCAAAGCTATGTGCTCTTTCAACCGTAGGTGTGTCAACACATTTGGAAGCTACTATTGCAAGTGCCAGATTGGGTATGAAATGAAGTATGTGAATGGCCAATATGACTGTGTAGGTAAGAACTGGGTTCTAGTTCTGCTTATTCCCCCCTCCCCCAACAAACCTCAGTGCATCTTTTTATACAGTTTTGAACTATTCTGGACATTGTGCTTGCAGCTTGTTTAAAAGACTTTATTTGGGAATCTGCAGAGTATCTGTTGTCTGAGATTAACAAGTAGAATATTTAAATATTGTTTTGCTATCACATATAATAATGAACATCAGAGCTAAGCTCCACCTTCCCGTACTTGTCATTCTTCTTGCAGGTTGGACAGGCCAATGAGGGGGCTGTAATTTGGGGGGAGTCCAGGGCATCTAGACCTCAGCTGTCCTGAGGTAGGAAACACTGAGACAGCCAGTGTGGTGTAGTGGTTGGATTTGTATCTGGGAGACCAGGTTTGAATTCCCACTCATGCCATGGAAGCTCCCTTGGTGGCGTTGGGCCAGTCATGCTGTCTCAGCCTAACCTACCTCACAGGGTTGTTGTGAGGATAAAGTGGAAGAAAGAATGATGGGTCCCCATTGGGGTGAAAGGCAGAGTATACATGAGTCAATTAAACAAATAATGTTTTTCACACTGAGTAGAGAGCAGTGATGTATTTAATCTTCTTATTAGCTGCTGTTGGGCTTCCTGTTATTTTTGATAGTTTTTATTTACTTGGAAAAGGTCAGTATACATTCCAATCCCAAAGGGCAATGCCAAGGAATGTTCAAACTATCGCACAGTTGCACTCATATCACACGCTAGCAAGGTCATGCTCAAGATCCTACAAGCTAGGCTTCAACAGTACGTGGATAGAGAACTGCCGGAAGTACACGCTGGGTTTTGAAGAGGTAGAGGAACTAGAGATCAAATTGCCAACATTCGTTGGATTATGGAAAAAGCAAGAGAGTACCAGAAAAACATCTGCTTCATTGACTATGCTAAAGCCTTTGACTGTGTGGATCACAACAAACTATGGCAGGTCCTTAAAGAGATGGGAGTACCAGACCACCTCACATGTCTCTTGAGAAACCTGTATAAGGGTCAAGAAGCGACAGTTAGAACTGGATATGGAGCAACTGATTGGTTTAGCATAGGAAAAGGAGTATGACAAGGATGTATATTGTCACCTTGCTTATTTAATTTATATGCAGAATACATCATGCAAAATGCCGGCCTGGATGAATCACAAGCGGGAATTAAGATTGCTGGGGGAAACATCAACAACCTCAGATATAAAGATGATACCACTCTAATGGCAGAAAGTGAAGAGGACCTAAAGAGCCTCTTGCTCAGGGTAAAAGAGGAGAGCGCAAAAGTTGGCTTGAAACTCAACATCCAAAAAACTAAGATCATGGCATCTGGCCCCATCACTCCTTGGCAAAAAGAAGGGGAAGTCATGGAAGCAGTGACAGACTTCATGTTCCTGGGATCCCAGATCACCGCAGACTGTGACAGCAGCCATGAAATTAAAAGATGCTTGCTCCTTGGGAGGAAAGCGATGGCGAACCTAAACAACATGATAAAAAGTAGAGACATCACCCTGCCAACAAAAGTCCACATGGTCAAAGCAATGGTATTCCCAGTAGTCATGTATGGCTGCGAGAGTTGGACTATAAGGAAGGCCGAGTGCCGAAGAATAGATTCTTTTGAACTATGGTGCTGGAGAAGACTCTTGAGAGTCCCTTGGACTGCAAGAAGATCAAATCAGTCAATCCTAAAAGAAATCAACCCTGACTGTTCCCTGGAAGGCCAGATAATGAAACTGAAGCTCAAATACTTTGGCCACCAAATGAGAAGGGAGCACTCACTGGAGAAGACCCTGATGCTTGGAAAGATTGAAGGTCAAAGAAGACGGGGACGGCAAAGGATGAGATGGTTAGACAGTGTCATAGATGCAACGAACATGAAATTGAGCAAACTCCAGAGCACGGCGGAAGACAGGAAGGCCTGGCGTGATCTGGTCCATGGGGTCGCAAAGAGTCGGACTCGACTGTGCGACTGAACAACAACAAAAATTTACTGTTGCATTATATTGTATTTGGTTTTTACTTCTTTTTTGCTCTGGTACATTTTATATTGAAAGGCAGATTCTAAACCCTCCTAGAGAGATAAATAGTAACTGGGGTCTTAATGGGTTGTATGAAGAGAGGCCCCCTTCCTGCCTTCACAGTCGATGGAGGAGACGCCTGAAATTTCCTGAGGCTGAGTTTCTGCTCTTCCTCAGACCTCCTTCCAGACCTAAGGGGAGTCAGGGTGAGGTGACCATTCCAGTGGAATTGTATGATACTCATTATAGCTCAAACATCACACCACACTATTAAAAGTACCATTGTTATACAGCTTAGAACATAAAATGTAGGTCAGTAATATGAAACTGAAAGTCAGATGAATAACTGACTATCTGGCAGGTCAAGATCTGCTTGACTTATTGGGAGTAGGGGTGTTCCCTGGCTTTCTGACAAGGGTCCTGAGCCTTTAACAAATGCATGACTGGCTGAAATAAGCCGGTGCAGTTTGTCCCCAGCATGAAGACGACATTCTTTCTTTCTATCTATCTATTTATCAATATGTCTATCAAGTACTGCTCATATGGCTCTCGCTTTAAGAAGATGAAGATGATGTTTATGAATCTGTGACTTCAATGACTTCTCTCCTGTTTTGTTTCATTTTTTTCATAACAAACCACTGTAGATATAAATGAATGTGCAGCAAATACACAGAAGTGTGACCTCCATGCAGAGTGTCTCAATACTCAGGGCTCCTTCAAATGCAAATGTAAACTGGGCTACAGAGGAAATGGATTTGAATGCTCTGGTAAGTAGCAGTGCATTGCAAAGAGAGTATCATTAGTTTGGCCCACCCTGCTCAAAGGATGGGGGAGTCCAGCCACTTCCAGAGTCTGTGGAGACACTCTTCTGATTTCTTTGTGTTTGGCATTGTATCCTCTCTCTCCTAGTCTGTGAACCAAAGACTACAATCAGGAAATGGGATCATTAATTCTGCTGTTCATTTTTGGGATCAGTTTCATTCAGAGTCAATCTACAATAGTAAAAATCCAGAAATAGACTCACAGAGGAGTGGTGAAAAAATCTTTGATTTTCTTGAAAATGGGATAGCCAAAAGATTTATATAGTTACATAGCTGCAAATTCTTCAATGAAATAGGGAGCATGGTTTGACCCATCATTATGGAAGTTTCTTCCAATTCCTGCTTAGTTTCAAGCTGAATTCTTTTATTTATTTTTTAAGTCCCTGGAAGGATAGTTTTTTATTATTTTTTATAAGACTACAAAACTACAAAGAAAATATAAGGGAGGGGGATTACATCTAAGGATAAAGGCAAGATAACCACACTACACTAAAAACCCAAGAGGAGGAGATCATGTCCGTGTTAATCTAAGTGTTATTAATAAAAGTGTTAGTACAACAATATACTTGTAGAGTTCTTGTTTGTCTTGGCTTCAATGTTAGTATGTTAGTTGTTGTGAGAGAACTTTCTGAGCATCTTCTTGTTATTTGCTTCAAAAGGCAATTTTCAGAGTCCTTCTGCCTTTACTTCGGTTTTCTGTCTCTGAAATCATATGTAACTTTCGTTGCGCCTGCACCCGTTTCTACAGCAAAGTCCTAATCCGTTCCAGAGGTAGAAATTGATTTCGATTCACTTGATTTCGATTCTTCATCTTTGGATTCTTCCTCCAGTCCCAACTGGTGTCTCAAAAATTCTTTGGCTTTAAAAATGGAGCCAATCTTTTCTCTTTTGTCGTTGATACAAAATTCCATTGGTTGGAAGAAAGGAAATTAAGTCCTTATAGCTTTTCCTCTTTGGCGAATTTCAAATGGAAATTCCATTGGAAATTAAGTCCTTATAGCTTTTCCTCTTTGGCGAATTTCAAATGGAAATTCCATTGGAAATTAAGTCCTTATAGCTTTTCCTCTTTGGCGAATTTCAAATGGAAATTCCATTGGAAATTAAGTCCTTATAGCTTTTCCTCTTTTGGCGAATTTCAAATGGAATGATTTGTTTTGCTTCAACTTCCCCCATTCTTTTCTTCATTTTCTTGTTTGTGGTATTCATCTTTTTAATTCTCTCATACGTATGCTCCACCTTCTTTGCCATTTCTGCCAGTTGGAGCTGCTGGGATGTGAAGTTTTGATTCAGCGAAGTCAGTTGCTGGTTAATACCATTGAGTTGCTCCATCACCGGCTTGAGCATATCCGCTAACATTTTCATGATGTCTGCGCCCTCTTCCGGTTTTGGGCTCTGACTACCTGCCGGTTTCGCTTTAAACTTTCTTTGCGAGGCCGCCATTTTATACGATTGTTTACAATTCCAAACCGCATCTCACGGACTCGAAAAATCGTCACCTCGATGTCAGCGCTCAAGTAAGTCTCTCAAAACAAAATCGCTGCTTGTTTTCCCCCCAGCCCTCTTCGTTACGCTTATCTGTCCTCTTTGCACTCCACTTTTCTCACGGGGGGGGGGGTAGTTCGCTTTTAAAATATTCCGCTTATTTTGAACTCACGTTCATTGTCGGTCATTTCTCCGACCTCGCTCACAGTAATCAATATTCCGCTCGATCTCCAGCAGTTGTCCCAGTCGAATCAGCTTGTGCCCAAGCAGCTTCCGGTTTGTGGATCAGCGATGGCAGTCGTTCTCTCCGGACCTCAGGGGAGCAACTTGCACACCAGTGGTATGGAGGGGTGCTACCTCAAGTAGCACTCACACGGAGCCTTTCTGATAGGCTCCAGGCCATAGGGCTTTTGAGGGGCAGCCTCTTCGATGGCTAAATGCCGGAGAATTGAGGCTTCCCTCCGCCCTGAAGCTGAATTCTTAAAGGGCCAATTCATAGCCAAACAGATATCCTGAGAATGTGGGTTTAACATATTGGTGAGGGATTTTCCCTTATGGGCCTTCTCAAAGCTTTTGGTAAAGACTTGTTTTGAGTCCCTAGTAAAATTAACCTTAAAGAATAATGTGCTGCTAAGCCAGTCTCAGATTTCCTTCAGTTTGTTTTGGCCTTCTTATGTACCTTTTAAGCCTCAATATGTATTTTGCTGTTAGGTAAACCTCAGGCTAGTTTAAGCAAAAAGACAGACATTTGGACCACATCCAACAGATGTCTTCAGATCTTGATTCCCTACAAAAACTATGTACATGTGAAACTTCTTATTTATAATAAATACCTAAATGGAAACATGGGAAAGTTTTCTGTTGCTTTACACATAAAATATATATTGACACGAGTTTGATTTGCAGTTGACTATGTAATTATTGCTGCCCATGATCTTAATTTCTTTATTTTCTCTATTTCATAGCTTCAGTAATCTGTGGGCTAGTACAGTTTCAAAGCCAAACAATGTCTTGGTGTTAAATAAGCAAAACTTGGGCTGTTGTGTTTAATCCTCCCCTTCCATTATGGTTTCCTGCCTTCCTGGTTTGTAGCAAACTGTAGTTTTCTGTTGCATCCAAACCAGTAAACAATAATATACTCTTGGGGTGGGATCCCACAGATTTCTGCACAAGGAAATGGTTCCCATCTGTGGAATGTGACTTCCTTGATTCATTCCTCCTGCTGCAGCTCAAAATGCCCTCTGAAATGCTGCTCCTGCGGGAGAGGGGACCTCAGGGACAGTACTGGGGGAGGGGAGCTGGAGGTCTACTGTGGCAGGAGGGAACTGGCAGAATGGCCCCACTTCTGTCTGTGGAAATCCTCTGTGGGATACAACCCCTAATCTCCAAATCTGAATTAGAAACTGTGATCTAATGGTGGCTTTCTATTGTGGTTAGGAGGGCAAGTTTAAGTTTGAATGTGATGGAGAATCATAGTTTCGTGTTAAAGCAAGAGGAAACATGGGGATGTGCAGGCCAAATCATGGTTGCAAGTGTTTATCAGGTCATTAGCACATCAAGAAAAAAAATCGGCTCAAAGGCCAATCCATAACATTGTTGTACTGTTCAACACTACAAGACACTGGACAGACCCTAACATACACACAGAGACTCTGACCACTTCATCCTCAGAAAACACCAGCTGTACTTGCAGTCTAAAAGTGGCTTGGGCCCACTGGTCTGCTCAAAAAAGCAGCTGTGTCCACGCACCCCAGGTGCCATCCCATTCCTGGCTGGTGGCTATTGTTAATGTGTGAAAGCATGTGCCTGTTGATAATTACTGGCTTGAGAAGCAATGATCCTTGAAAGCATTAACAACAAAATGAATCAACTGTTTTCTGTTGTAACAGAACAAGTGGTTTCAGAGCATGATTTCAAAGCTGTAGAGACAGCTTTCAGTTTCACTGAACAGTGCACTTAAGCGCACATCCAATGACACATCAACGTAATTAACACCTGAGGGGGGATTAAAATTACAGACCATGGATCCTTCCTCTATTGCTGCCATCTTGCATATCTTTCCATCACTTGGTGTAGACAGTGCATACATGATAGCCTGAGGAACAAACACTTTTACTATGTCAAACTGATTTATCTTGCTAAGACCCAAGAACAGGATTATCTTGGCCTGAGGAAGTAGGAGGAACTGTGGACATGTTTTGGTTTCAGCATGTGGACTGTGACACTTCAGATGTGTCTATACCTGGCTGAGAAATTTGGCATGTGCAGGCTTCCATCCAATCCCCCAAACCCCCAATTAAGTATCGTACCAATGTCTCTTCTGCTTTCTGAAGCCAGAAAAAATTATATGGAGTTGTAAGAAAATTTCATTCCTAGAGGAAGACTTCAAAGGAGGAACTGCAAGCAGATGCTTGAATTTGCTGGGCAGTCATCCCTGGTTTGAAAATCTCCACAGACTTTTTATTGAAACACTGGGGCTTTGTCTTACTGATGACTGAGAGCAAATTTGTTGGGAATTGGGGTTTCCTGTTAATTTTTCCTTGCCATACCCAGAATAAAGATTCAGTGAACCATGTCAGTTAAATTGTACAGTGCATCCTTTTTAGCACCACCTCTAGGGGAAAGAATAACTGAGCAGGCAGTTAACAAAGAGTTAACGTATAGGCATCTAAGCAAAACTAGGCTGAAAACATTATCCATAGGGAAGACAGAACTTTCAGTTCTGTTTTGTTTGTATACTTTCTAGCTTGTTAAATACCTGCAGTTAAATCCTCATGAAACAGCACTACCAGAACACTACTACTTTTCCAGCCATACTGTAGTGCTACTGCACAGTTTGGTAAAGAAACAAAAAACTCCCTTTTAAGGGCTGAAGGGGGAGGAGAATGTACAGTTCAGTTCTGTCATTTGGAAGGCGCGGCTTAGGTCTGCCCTCCTCTCCATGGTGGCTACAAGGGAGTGTCCAAAATGGATGCTTCTCCCCATAGGCAGCCTGCCGTTTCCCTTTTAATTCTGAGAATTTGTGCACTTCGCTGTAGGAGCTTCCTGCTGTCCATGTGTAGAAAAATCCTCATGTGGAAGCAGCGAAAGTTTGGGGAAAATTAACCAGCATAATATGTGAAAAAAGATATTTTCAAAGACATGTCCTATGTTACTGCTTTATCCATATTATCATTTTATATTTATAATAGATGTCCCCCCCTTACCACCATTGTTAAATAAGCATATGAGAAATACCATCTGTTCTGTTTTCAGTTTCATTCCCCTGAGTTAAAAATTGTGAAGTCAGATTTTCCCATGAACAGACGGGCTAAAACTGTTAATTGTGGGAGCCAAATATGTGTCTGCCAGCACCTGAAATAACTTTTCAGCTTTGGTACATCCTTTATAGTAACATATATGTCACCATTGAATATAATGGCTTTTCAGCTTCCTAGGATACTTCTGGAGTATGAGGAACTTCTCTACTATGTCTGGGAACTGTGCCAGAATGAGGCCAGTATTAATTTTACCCAGAGATTTGAAAGCATATGGACTCAGAGCTGACTTACATCTTAACTACTTAATGAGGAAATGTGTAGAATTGGGTCCACCACCACCTGTATTCCTGGGAGACCTTCTTCTGAGTGCCAGTGCTGATGGTGGCACTAATGAAAGATCGTTCCCAGCAGTTTCTTGCATATAATAGGGATTCATTTGCATCTCTTCAAAAATTATTAGCAATTGGCTTTTTGTCACACAAAAGTATTGTTTATAAATTTAATAGGTGTAAAATGGCAGCTAAATCAGGCATATTTTATTTTGTTGTTTGTTCTAGTTGTACACGAAAATTCTGTGAAAGAGATTCCTAGGATTTCTGGAGCTGCCAAAGAGAAATTCAAGAAACTGCTTGTGCATAAAAACAGTGTGAAAAAGCATGAAGACATCAAAAATGTGATTCCAGAACCTCCTGTGACTCCAGCTTCTAAAATTCATGTCAGGCCTTTAGACTATGAAGATGGCATATACATAGAAGGTCGCTATACCAAACAGGGGAAAGGCACTGAAGATCTTGGAAGAGATGAGAGAGTAGAAGAGAAAGGAGAGGTGGAAGGAGAAAGAGAAGACCATGAAAACCAGAGTGAGCCTGAGAAGAAACTTCGAGGAGATGTTTTTTGTAAGTGTTAGTTTAACATATTTTTTTCAAATGCATAAGTTTATGTAGAACTTTAATTAGCACTCCTAACATGTTAGTGACATGTTCTACTACTTTTTATGAATTTCCCTGCATAAGACAGTAAACCAAAATTAGTAGTAGAGTAATACAGCATTTTACATGGTACTTTTGAATAGGGATTCATGATGAATTTTGCCCTGTTCATGGTTTTCAAACCAAAGTTCATGACAAGTCTACCGTCACACAAACTTTCAAAGCCATTTGTGGTGGTTCATGCATAGAGCAGAAATTAAGGGTTTAAAGGGACTCTGAGTCCCTTTAAACTCCTGCTTTCTGTTTCCTGTGAAAGCCATAAAAACAGCTGAGTGGTGGGGACTCCTAGGTCCCATTACCTCCAATGGACCTTCAAGCCTCTCCCATTGTTTCCAATGGGCAATCCTGTCATTCCTTTTGTACATCCCAGTTAGTTGCCCCTTTGAAACTGCACCACACCATTTTAACTAACAGCAAAATGAAGAGCATGAACATGTACAGAGTGGACATTTCTTGCCAATGTTCTCTCTGGGCTGCACACAGGGCAAAAGGAAATTTTAAAAGACCTCTGATCTGCATGTCCCCCTCTTATCTTGTTCATGCAGATGGGCTTACCATTTAAAAATTAAATGGAAATTGAAAGAAGAATTTAGGAGTGGTTGAAGCAGCCCCCCCTCACATGAAAAAAAAAATTGTTCTCAATCAAGGATATATAGACCCAATTAAAATAAAATAGAGACACAGTTTCCCCACAGTGTAAAATGGAGCCCAACAAGTATGTTGAGTCCAACAGAGGCTTCGTAGTCTGTCTGTTGCTACACTGAAAATGGTTGGAGCCAGCCAGGATTAAGGACTATACTTTCTTTTCCAACAGACACCAAACATATTCAAGGATTGATATGTTCTGGATATCAAAAACCTTAGTTATTAGCCTAGAGCATGCAAAGATACAACCAAAAACCTGATGGATCCAGCCACAAGAGACCTTCTCTTCGTGTTGCAAGGAATGTTATCAAATCTCTTTCCCTGCTCAGCTTTTCCTGTCTCCAGAGATTTGTCTTTTTAAAGATTCTTTAGCATTTGGTACCTCCACATATATGCTTGGAGAAGGGAGGGGGGATTTTTAACCATCCCATTGTCTATCTTGCTAGCTCAATTAGCATTTGTAAGAAGGTGATCCTGACTTCCTCCTTTCTAGCCCAGAGGAAAAAACCCACACAGGGAAGTTTTAAACTCAATAGTGCCTGGCACTAGTTGCCCAGGGGAGGCTAAGTTCTCCCTGGAAAAAATTGGGAAAGGCCCAAGCTCCCAAGGCCCCCCCTCCCCCACAGTTTGCGCCTATGGCTCCGGCTGAGTTATCAATTGCTGGAAAATCGACTGATGTCTATATATTTATGTGGCCCATCGCTTCTTTTTAGAATACACAAAGTGCACTGTTGTTTTCTCAAAAATAATGTATATGTATAATTTAATTGGTGCTATACTGACTGACTTTCAGAAACCTCATTGTTTTTTAAAAAAATATTCTGGTTGAGATGCAGTGGAATCTTATGCATATCTACTCAGAAGTAAGATCCTCTATGTTCAGTTATACTTACTCCAAGGTAAGGGTGTACAGGATTGTGCCATTAAGTACAGGATTGTGCCAGGTCTACATCTGCTGAAGATAATAGAAAAACAGGCCATGATGTCCTTCCTTCATTTTGAAAAACTGTGACTGTGCTATCTACACCTTTTGCTGACCCAGCTGTGACACATGGATTAGCAGCTTTGCAGACTATAAGATTTCTCCCTTACATTACTCAAATTAATCCTTGGGACCAGGGACCACTTCCACACACACACACACACACCAGAAAGCCATCAGATCAGAATTCCTCAAGGCTGCCCACAAAGAGGTTTCCCAGTTCTAAACAAGCAGTGCTGGGTTCTGTACCTCTGTTGTGTGTGTAAAGCGCCATCAAGTTGCAGCCAATGCATGGCAACCTCATTCAAGGCAAGTGAGTAAGCAGAGTTGTTTTGCCACTGCCTTCCTCTGCAAAGCTTTCCTTGGTGGTTTCCCATCCAAGTACTGACCCTGCTTCGCTTCTGAGATCTGATGAGATACAGCTATACTATACCATTCCACATCCCCCTATACCTCTATTAAAATTTCTTCTATAGAATGCAAAACTAAACAGGTTCCCCTTACTGTACTCTTCAACATTTGAATGATGTAGCAGTCTGCTGCGGATGATAACACTTCCACTATTGGAAAAACTTGTCTTGTTTCTGACCTTTTCCTTTCCCCATGCTTCGGTCTGTAAAACATTTGGAGATACACTACAGAAGTGACAAAGTAATGTTGCCATCAAGTAAAGTTATAGAACTAGATATTACAAGAGATGTGTGGCTGCTGCCCAAAATAGTAGCTCTGTGTCTCTTTCTCCTCCATAATGGCTAGTTCATAAAATGTATGTGATATCATAGTGCATCATTTCCACTTCACTTCATTAGCTGCTGCTTTGGGAAATATGATTAAACCATAAGGATACCACATACCATATTTTTACTTGCTCAGTGTTACATAAGAATGGGTGGAAGTGATGCAGAGCTGCCAGTTTTGTTGGCAACCATGTGTCTCTTGTACTGTCTAGTTCCACCCTGTTTGTTTCAGATAAAATGGGGGCATTTCCCTAAGTGACGTATGTACTGAGCACTGGCTTATAAGCAGTAGTAGCTGGTGTGGGAATGCATTTAGTGGTTTAGATGAGAGCTTTTTGTTCTGTGATGGCTTCGCAGTCTGGGTATTGTTCACTGAAATGTTGCTTTATCAGTCTTGCATCATATTCTATTGAGGTGTTTATTTATTTACCTGTTCAGAGACCAGAGAGTATTGCAGAGTAATGTGACGAAAGCTCTTCCAGATGGTGCCCTGAAGATTTATGCTGTGCTGTGTTTGTCCTCCTAATCTCATTGTCCCTCAGATGTCTCGCCAAAATGCCTCCTCTTTTGTTGATACCAAGAAACCACAGAAATGAGGCCGCGGGCATCATTCCAATGGAAACAAATCACCACCAGAGCTGGTTAACAATTACTAGGCTCATTGACGCAATTGATCCGTTTCTAGCAAACAGTTCTGACCTCACTCTCACATATGTCTCACATGCACTACTGCACTGAACGTTGCTATTAACAACGTAGTCTTAAGTTGAGTTACACGTTTTCCTAAACCTGTTGACTTCAGTGGCCTTAGAAGGATGTCTGTTTAGGATTGTACTGTAAATCTTACACACACACACATACCCATTCTCAGATGAGCTACTTTAGGCACACCTAAGGCATGAATGTACAGTGATGGGGGGTTTCCCCCCTTCTTTGTATCCTCCAACTCTGCTCAGTTAAGTCTCAAGCTTTCTTATAGCTTAAGAAGTCTCCAGGAGAACTAGGTCTTCTTCAGGTAACTGTGGAGTGGCAGGATGCAATCTAGTGGAGCCTGTGCAAATCACAGATTGTGTTGGAATCTCCTGGGGCTTCAAACTCATTTGCCGTGGGAGGATGGCATAGTACTATTCAAAGAAAAGAACTTGAATGCACTGCTGGCAGGTTGCTACTCACATGATTCTCTTCCTTGTGTTCATAGCTGTGCACACAAGTTCTTAAAATCTCAATAAAAGTTAAACAACAGTTGTGTAGGATTGCAGCATATATCATAGCTGCAAGCATGGTTCTTCTGAAGTTGTTCAGCAAGTAAATTTTAAAAAGAAGAGTTGAAAGGAACCTTTGTTCTCACACATTTTGGAAGAAATCCTAAGAAGGTCTACAAAGAAGTGACCCCAATTATATTCAGTTAGACTTACTCCCATGAAAGTGTTCTTAGGGTTGCAGGCTTTTGAAGGAATATTAGGTTAGCATAGTGCTTAAGCCACATAACGTAGCGGAAGCTATCCTATTTGTATGTGATGCTAAGAAACAAAATTACCTTTTTCTTTTATCCAATAAAAGCTCTGTGATACATTGATCTTGAGAAGTGAACAGCTGTTGTTAATCACTTATCACCCAATAGACAAAAGGAGTAAAAAAAAGTTACAGCTGCTAGAGTTCTTTTTGGATCCCTGTCAGCAAGTAGATGTGTGACTAGGACATAAGAATATATATCAGATTGAACTGGCAAACATGGTGAAATATAATGTCTCCTGAGATTAGCATACAAAGGACACTCCAAAAGACTATGTTCAATCACGTTACCTAAGGAACAGCGGCAGATTTGTTCCCCTCATAATTGCCAAGAAGTGGACGCTTAGTCTGGCCAGAATGAACACTCTTAAAAGGCTGTGGAAATTCAACAGATAGGTATAGGAGGGAAGAGATTTCATAGGTGGGATACCAAAAAATTGGGATGAACAGGTGCGGTGTGCTCTAAAGGCAGAGCTTCAGTGATCAATTAATTTTACAGGATTTCTCACCAAAGTAAATGCTGTATGAAGACCCAGGTCCTGGATAGTATCCAGGTTAACACCAAGAGTCAGGAGTTTCTCAAACACAGTCTTAAACGATATTGACCTATAAGGGTCCTCTTTCAGGAGTGCCAGATAGCCTTTCTGCTCAAATATGACTTAATGAACAATCAAAATGCATGTAACTAATCCCTTGCCTAAAGGGAAGGTTGGCCCAATTCTGTATGAAGAGCCATGCCAGCTGCATGAAGAGGAATGTTTAATAATTTCAGCAAAAGAAAAAAAAAATAGAAGATGGTCAGTATTTTCATTAATCAAAACAATCTTTATGGCTACTCCACAGAGAATAATTGGGAGAACCTTAAGTTAAAGACCTGAAAAGTGCCTGGAACATAGTTTCTACCACTGTTTTAGGAAAAACTTAATATGCTGCAGGCACAGGTTTTTGCTTCTTGCCTTATTAACGACTGATGTTGTTCCCATTTTTGATTAGATGAAAGAAGAATACCCAAACATGAAAAATCCTTCCCT